GTAAAGGCCCTCCCATTGATCGTCGATTTGCTCGAGCGGGCCCAGTAATGTCTCCATTGGAGACTTTGTTGTTACTGTGTCTGGCATATCGAATACTCTCGGTAGCTTGCCAGGCTCTCCGAGAGGGCCGGAGGAATCGAACTCGGGTCGGCCATGTGGGCTGCGTGCAAGGCAGACGCCCTACCCACTGTGCTATCACTCCAGCCCCATTTTTTCATTAATGAAATTAATGAAAAAAAAATAACTGCTTCAAAAACTTTGTTTTTGGCCCATACACCCAACAGTGCTCATAGAGGCTATTTCTGACTTTCTGCTTGGGATCATACCTGGCAGTTCTCAGGTAGTGCTGGGGATCAAATTTATGCAAAACATGTTTCCTCTCTTTGGCCTTTGAACTGTTTGATTTTAAGATAATTCTTTGAAAAAGTGCAACTTATCAAAAGGAAAAGAAGAGATGAATTCAAAAATTAAAAATCCAACAAGATCTTCTAGACAAGGACAATTGTTCTCATGTTGCCCTTTCCCCAAAACCTTAACCCTTATTCACAAACCTGTGTTTAAGAATGCAAATAAGGTAGCGTGTTTCACAGAACTAGTCCACAAAGGAATTTATCGATCATTCCAGGGTCAGTTGTGTGCAACCCATTCTAAAAGTGTGTTTTTCTCCCAACTATGGATGAATGGATCAAGAAGTTGTGGTATGGGGCTGGAGAGATAGCACATCGGGTAGGGCATTTGCCTTGCTCGCGGCCGATCTGGGTTCGATTCCCAGCATCCCATATGGTCCCCTGAGCACCGCCAGGAGTAACTCTTGAGTGCAGAGCCAGGAATAACCCCTGTGCATCACCAGGTGTGACCCAAAAAGCAAAAAAAAAAGTCGTGGTATATATACACAATGCAATGCTATGCAGCTGTACTAAAGGACAAAATGATTCAATTTTCCACAACATAGATGGAATTGAGAGTATTATGCTGGGTGATGTCAGAAGAAAAGGGATAGATACAGAATGCTCCACTTCATTCTTAAGATTTAAAGATACACAGTAAGAGAACAACAAAGGGCCAAAGGCATCAGAAACAGAGTTGGCCTAGAGAACTGAATTAATTTGTGGGAGTGAGGGATTGGAATGGAGCGACCTTTGGGATCTTGGTGGAGGCTTCGAAGTGATCACTCTGGTTATAGGTATGGTGTGGGAATAATGTATGCATGAAACCATTATTCACAGTATTGTAAGCCTCAGTAAGTCTGTAAAAAATGTTTTAAACATGGTTTTCTAGTTTCTTTATAAACTGTCTTTCTTATCTCCATGCAGACAAGATGTTTGCTAGAACTTGAGTCCACCATCTCCCAATTTTCTGCTTGTTGTTGGTAAAGCTGTCGACATGTCTCTTGTTTAGTTAGCCCTCAAGTGACAGTGAAACTAAAATTCCACGCTTATAAAAATACTACACAAACACTTGCCAACACTGTTAAAGAATGGAAAAGAGATATATGTGTTTCAAAACTGGTGGTGTAGGAAAGGAGGTAGGAGTCTAAAATACACATGTTGGGGCTATAAAGACATAAAATACATATTTGGGGGTCATTTGCCTTGCATGTGAATAACTCTAGTTTTATCCATGGCACCACATATGGTCCCCTGAGTACCACCAGGAGAAACCCGGAGCACAGAAGCTGGTAGCAATACTTAAGCACTATTGGTATGGCCTAAACACCTCCATCACCAGCAAATAAAACACATTTTCAGGCGTTAACTGTAGTAACACAAAATGAGAATACCTGCCATAGAAGGATCATAAAAGATAGCCAAGTATCTAATTCTCTATAAAACACAAAGTTCTGACATTTCCAACATCCATTAATCATATGGTTACTAGAGTAAACTGTTCTAGACAAACTGTTTTATGTTAAAAAAAAAGCTTTTCCACTCTATTTTCAAGGGTTTTCCCCCATATGTAGTGGTTCTCAGGGCTTACGCCTAGCTTTGTGCTTGGATATCACTTCTGGCAGTGCTTGGAGAACCTTATGTGGCATCAGGGATCAAACTGGAGTCAGTCACATGCAAGTTAAGTGCCGTGCCTACCGAACTATCCCTCTAGCCCCTATTTTCAAGTTTTGTATGGCTCTCATACCAAAATTTGACAAATAGAGCTGCCTGAAAAGATGAAATGATTTACTTGATGAATATATACATTTATTATTGTTAGTTCTGGGAATAGAAATCAGGATCTCCTATAAACAAAGCATGCACTCTACCACTGAGCTACATCTCTGGCCCTAGAAAATGTTAAATAAAGTGTTAGCAAATTGGATTAATCAAAGTCTTAGATAATTATTAAACTATGATGAGGGTAATTTTCTCAGGCATATACTATCCTGAGAGAGCCACTTTGGGGAATATCTTTCCAAAATTTAATTAGTGATAGTACATGAAAATGTGAAATCAGGGGCCGGAGCAATAGCACAGTGGGTAGGGTGTTTGCCTTGCACACGGTCGACCTGGGTTCGATCCCCAGCATCTCATATGGTTCCCCAAGCACCGCCAGGAGTAATTCCTGAGTGCAGAGCCAGGAGTAACCCCTGGGCATTGCTGGGTGTGACCCAAAAAGCAAAAAAAAAATTAAAAATTTAAGAAAATGTGAAATCAGAGATGATAGAAGTATCCATTATGGAAATAAGCAAAGCAATATCTATCCCTCGTCCATCCCTATTTTCCTAGAATCATTAAACTTCTACTTTGGGGAACCAAGGAGATATCCCAAAGACTGAAAAGCATACTCTGCATGTGGAGCCCCAACTTTGATTTCTAGGCCCTCATGGTCTTTCAAGTGTCATCAGTGTGCTAGTTGCAGTTTCCTAGAACTGTCAGGGGCCTCGCAAACAAAAATAACCAGTCAAATAAACCTCTACTTTTGTTGTCACTCTACTGAATTTGACAATAGGAAAGAAGGAATTTGATCAGATCGGAGGTGCTGAAAAAGCAGTTGATAAAAATTCTTCAGTAATACCTACGGACAGTAGAGACATGGGATAGATAGATTTCTCCATAGCTGGAAGCCTGCCTCATGAACAAAGTGGAGAAGGCAGCTGAAATAGAGAAGGGATCACTAAGAAAGTGATGGCTTGAGGAACCAGTGGTGATGGGAGATGTGTGCTGAAAGTAGATAAAGGACCAAACATGATAACCTCTCAGGGTCTGTATTGCAAACCATAATGCACAAAAGTAGAGAGAGATTATGGAGAATCATGTCTGCCATGAAGGCAGAGGGAGGATGGGAAAGGGGGGCTATACCGGGGATATTGGTGGTGTGGAATGTGCACTGGTAGAGGGGAGGATGTTTGATCATTATGTGGTTGTAACCCAAACATGAAAGCTTGTAACTATCTCACAGTGATCCAATAAAATCTAAAAAATTAAAAAATAAAAAAATAAAATAAAACGATCCTAGATGAAAAAAGAATTACAGTCATTGCTGTGAAGAATTCTAAAAAAATTCTTCAGTCATTCCAAATAAATTAGGAGTAGGAGTCTTTTTTTTAAAAAAAAGTGAAATATGTAATTCATTCACATTAAGCCACAAAAAGACATATTATACGCACACAAGTATAATATTTATTTCTATATTAAATCTGCATATGCTTCAGTGTGTATGCACGTTAATCACAAAATTATTTTGGGTGATCTCTATTTCTCATTTACCAGATCCTGTTAGCATCGTGTCATCAATATAAATGGACAAACGTGATGCTCTATGGTATGTAAAAGTGTTTGTAGTTCCCTGGGTCAATATTCAAAGAACAAGGGAGTTGGCATTGTCTTGAAATATGATAAGTAAATATTCCTTTTCATATATTCTTATTCAGAACCTCTTGACTTAAAGTGAATTTAAACCTTATTCTGAAGAAAAGAGGGAGACAATGGTCTTAGGCAGGGGTCTGATAAGATGATTATCCCCAATGATGTGCAGCTTTTGTTTAAGAGACTAAAGCAGGTGTCCTGAAAGGACAGTAACAGTAAGGTTGTGCATTCCTGGACTATGAGGAACATGGTGAAAGGGAAATGGAAAAGGTGTGAAAAGCATGAGAAGACTTGACTGGAATGGCGGATCAATTCATCAGGAGTGTGAGCAATGATGAAAGAGTAGATGCTACTGCTGTCATGAGTCAGTTTGCTTAAGTATCCTGGGTCTACTTCCAGAGAATCCATCATTGTTCATGCTTTCACGAGACCCTTTTTCTGGACAACATAAATCTTTGCTTCCATTTACAGTTCGCCCCTAAGCTCAGAAAGTTCATCTACTGCTGGCTGGACATTCAGCCTTATTTTTCTGCTATTACCTCAAACTAGAATGTTCACAAGATAAATCCTAGTCTTTACCCAGCCAGTCACATACTTTCATCAGTTGAACATCTCTTCATTTCTTTTTGTTTTGTTTTCTTTGGGGGCCATACCCATCACTGTTAAGGGCTTATTCTGGGCTCTGCGCTCAGGGCTTCTGGCAGGGCTTGGAGACCATATGTGGTGCCAGGGATAGAACCTGGGTTGGCATGCAAAGCAAACACCTAACATGCTATACTGTCACTATGGCCCAAGATTATTTTTGGTGGGGTGAGGCGTCATTTCTTTTATCTCTGAGATATTTGATGTTAATTTTATCTCTGAGATAATTGATTTTTTTGTTTTGGGGGTCACACCCCTTGGTGCTCAGGGTTAATTCTTGGTATCTTGGTGGGGCTCAGGGGACGATATAGGATGTAGGAGCTTGAATCAGGGCTGGCCAGTACAAGCCAAACGCCCTACTTGTAGTACTATATCTCTGCCCCACCCTATGCTACTACTTTTTCCTTATATCCCTGTAATCATTCTTATTATCCTAAAATTAAAAATATATTTTTTGAATTAAGCTTACAGGAGGCAGGGGTGTTTGTCCCATATATGAAACCCGCCAAAATCTCTTTACAGTATTCACCGATTCTCTTTAAAGGACTGATTACATACCATTAAGGTTCCAGTAGAATTTCCTCGATAACTCTGCCACTTATTCCCATCCAGACTATACATGACGATAAATTGTGAGACGTAGAGACTGGAGAACTTCTGACGGGCACCTTGAGTCATGATGCTGTGAATAATCATTGGTGCCAAGAGGTCCACCTACCAATGAAAACATTTTATTACTATTATGGGGGTGCTGAGGACCATGCCAGTGCAATGGTTCTCAGAGGCTACTCTGCACAGTTCTTAAGGGGAATATGCAGTACTGGGAGTGGAATCCAGGCCTTCCACTTACAAAACACGCAGTCCAGTCATTTGAGTCACTTCCCTGGCCCACAACATGTTTGAAATTTGTGCAGCACTAGCTTGGCAAGAATCTACACCAGTGCAGATGTGTCCAGTATTACCTTCGATGTGCAGATAGAGCAGTCCCTGCTATTGAAATGCTGACATGGATGAGGTTGAGGGGTGATAGGAGGATGAGAGGGAAGGGTAATAATGAAGTTCTCAGCCAATTTCTGGGCAAATTTCTGGGCAAAGCAGATCACTTCTGAATCATTGGGCCCCCATCTTCCCTAGTCACATCCCTTTACCGGTATTCAAGGACCCCACTTAACCTAATGATTTGTTCACACCTCATCCTCTCTCCTTGCCTCTTCCCAGACCAGTCCCCATCACAAATGCTACATTTAGTTCAGGGTTTTCTATGTTTCTGCCTTACTTGGTATATAACTTCATTACAGTGAATGACTGTACCATTTTATAAAGGCCTCTTCACATCTCTGCCTTTCTTAGTAGACCAAGATTCTTAAGGCAGTGAACCCATGTGAGTCACATACCATCTCTGTGCCTTAATGTCTTTATCTTCAGAGTGAAGATAAAATGATACATCTCACAAAGGCTTACTGTAAGGGTGACAGAGGCAATCATACACGTAAAAGGCTGAGTACAGTCTGGCACATGCTGATACTTCATAAATGTTAGTTTTTGGTTCGGAGAGCCCGGCAAGCTACCGAGAGTATTCGATATGCCAGACACAGTAACAACAAAGTCTCCAATGGAGACGTTACTGGGCCCGCTTGAGCAAATTGACGATCAACGGGAGGGCCTTTACCTTTTACCTGGTTTGTTTTGGAAGTATGCTTGGCAGTACTCAGGACCTATTTCTGGATCTAAGGTCAGGGATCACACCTGGCAGGGACTTGGGGACCATATGTGGTCCCAAATGTTAGTTTGTATACTCTTTATAGTACCTGCACCTAACATAACACAGGTGTACAGCAAATTTTTATTTTTTGAAATGAATGGGTGAATGATGCAGAGTGGTAAGGTATTTATATATACACATACTGGAATACTATGCAGCTATAAGGAATGATGAAATTATGCTATTTGCTGCAACCTAATTGGAAGTGGAAGATATTATGTTGCATTAAGTAAGCGTGAAGAAGACAAGCACAAGATGATATCACTTACCTGTAATTTATTGAATAATTGGGTGAGGAATGGCCACTTCTTTTCTTTAATTTATGTATTGAATCACCGTGAGAACCGTTACAAAACTTTCAGATTTAAGTCTCAGTCACACAATGATCAAACACCCATCCCTTCACCAGTGCATGTTTTCTAACACCAAGAACCCCAATATACCCTCCATCCCACCCCTCCCCATGCCTGTGAGGCAGATTATTTCCACTTAAATCTCTATCTCTATATACTTTGATTACATTCATTATTTTGACAAAAGATGCACAATTATTATTTGGAGTTTTCCCCCAACAATCAAACCTGCTGAAAAAGCATCATGAAATAATTTGTTTTCTATTTCTGGTTATGAAGACTATAAGATGTCATGTGGCCGCTATTGCGGCCACACGATTTTGGATTTCTGATATTTTACTAATTAAGTCTGGAGGGATTTCTGCCAAAGGCAGCATATTTCTGAGATTAGTTTGTGTGCCTCTGGGGCCATGGCCATGCCAGAGAGCCGCTCATGGGGGGCAACTCGTGGTCTCCGTGGGGCAAGAAGGATATGCTGGTTCCGCCCCCCATGCCATGAGGCCGCAGTTGCCCAGTCACCTCTGGCTCATACCTGGCTGTCCAATAAGCTCTGAGGCGGAGGCCACCATGCCGTCACAGGGGAAAAAGCCAGAAGAGACAGACACCCTTTCCCTCCCAAGGGGGTATGGAATGACCTTTCTTAACAAAGAGGGCATGGACCTTGAGCATTACCAAAACATTGCATCAGTTACTGTCCTATAAAGGACGGCAAAATTAACTTCTTCCACATGCCTGCTACATTCACACTAGACTGGCCTTGATCCTTACACTTAGTGGCTATCTCCTTCAATTGACTATAAGTTCAAATTGTACATTCATTCACTCAAACAATATATTTTAGTATTTATGTGCTAAGCACTATCCTAGATACTGGAAATTGAGTAGTAAGTTAACAAAAAATAAAAAGCACTGCCCTCATAGGACTTATCTTTAAGCAGGGGAAATAAACTCTACGTCACATATTTGTTTGGCTTATTTGTGGCATCAAGTAAGTGCAGGAGAGAAAGAAAGCATTTCGATTTGTGTACAATTTACTGGTTTGTTCAATAAACATGGTGACAAAGGACTTCCAAAGCCACTTGACTGTTTTCCCAGATTAAATAGCATTTACAATAAAAGACATTTCATTTTTCCCCATCTTGCCGTCCTGGTATAAACAACTGAAAATACTAGACACTAAAAAGTCATGATTTTTGATGAAGTGATTTGTGGTATTTCTTCATGTAGCATATGAGAGGACTTATCCTACTCTGTCTTTGTCTTAGGGCCACACCCAGTTGTTCTCAGGACTTACACCTGCCTTTATATTCAGGGATCACTCCTAGAGGTGCTTGGGGACCATATGTGGTGCCAGGGCTTGAACTGGGGTCAAACCTTGTGCAAGGCAAATACCTTAAGCCTTATACTATATCTCCAGCTCCTGAGAGGGCTTTTTGACTATCGAATATTACACTCTCTACCAGCTACTATTTTCACCAGCTTGCCTTGTCTACATCAATTATATAATAGAGTTAGTAAAAGCAAACTGTCTATCTTTGCTTTGTCTTCTCGTTCCTCTTCCACATCATAATTCAAACATTAGAGCAACTGGGAAATCCAAGATTCAATATTTATACCTATGTTTCCAGCTAGGAATTGAGTATGACTGAAAGACATATCTCTCCTCCAGGTTGGAAGTAACTGGTGATGAGTTATACAGTATACAATGCGAACATACCAGCTTGGCATCCTGCAGCAAATAACTTGGTTTTGGTCACCTGATATCTTGGAAACCAGCCCAGTGCCTTTATGCCTTCCTGGAAGTGTCCCTCCCAGCTCTACTTCCATGCCTGATGGATCCCTGGAAGTATGCATTCATTCTATTTTTCTGGATTTCAGTAGACAGATGTCAAAAACAACCCTGAGAAGGTTCTTTAACATAGATGTGTCGTCAATAACACAATAACAGAGGTTTGTATCTGGTTCAGTTAACCAAGGTAAAAACTGAGAGTTAAGAGATGGTTATCAGCCTACAGAGAATAATCATTTAGTCTATGATAAGGATGGTTAATCAGAGGTCAGAATCCAGTGATTGGAGTTTCAGTGCTAATTCAACTACCTACTGGCTGTGTGGCTTGGGGCAAGTGAGGCAGCTTCTCTGTGTGTCAATATCTGGATGTGAAATGAGGATTATAGTAACATCTGCTGCCTAAGCCTGTGGGAAATATATAATAACTAGATTAGATTTTTAGCTCATAGTAAGGAAGCTCTGTCAACTTGTATATTTTGATCATGACTTTACTAATGCATTAAAAGGCTTATTGATAAAAATTACATGAAAATGGGAAGACTAAGAAATAGTCTGGGAGATAAAAGCTGGCATCCTGGAACAGTGAAGCATATCTAATAAGTAAGCACCTTTTTTAGTAAGGAAGAATTTCTTCTTGCTCAGGTTCTTTGGCAAAGCACAAAAAAGTCAATCCATTTACTAGCTTATCACATTGTTTCCAGTAAGGAACATGTACTTCCCTGAATGGAAATGAGAATGTTTGTACAGAAAAAGAGAATAGATGTAGGGAAGCCAAATATATTAAAGTGTTCACTATCTAGGAATACATATGTGATTGAAAGTGATAACCACAGAAATACAAGGGAAGAATTTGTGGTTTGGCAACCATACAAGCAACAAAAATATGTTAGGATAAGTGAATTTACAGTTCTAATTGAGTCTTAATTGCTGTTGGCTCAGGGAAGCAAAGATAAACAAATGGAAATGCATTAAATTATAAAGCTTTTGAACCTCAAAAGTAATGATAAACAGAATAAAAAGAGGGGCTGGAGCAATAACACAGCAGGTAGGGCGTTTGCCTTGCACATGGCCAACCCAGGTTTGATTCCCAGCATTCCATATGGTCCCCTGAGCATCGCCAGGAGTAATTCCTGAGTGCAGAGCCAGGAATAAACCCTGTGCATCGCCAGGTGTGACCCAAAAAGCAAAAAAAAAAAACAGAATAAAAAGAAACCCTACAAACTGGGAGAAAATATTTGCCCAAACCTCATCCTCATCTGAAAAACTGTTAATATCCTATATATATATATTTATAGCTCATATATATATATATATAGCTTTTGTAAACTTTAACAAGAAAAAAGCTAACCCCTTCTAACAAATGGAGAGGCGAGCTGAACAGAAACTTACTCAAAGGAGAAATACAGATGGCTGATAAGTATGTAAAAAGGAAATTCAAATCAAAACAACACTGAGATATCATCTCACACCAGTGAGACTACCACACACACATCGTAAAAAGACAGAAATAACCACTGATGGTGTGGATGAGGGGGTATAAATGAACCCTCATCTACTGCTTTGGGAGTGATGACTGGTTCAACCAATTAGCAAAACAATATGGACATACCTCAAAATATTAAGAATAAAAAATTAAGGGCCAGAGGGATAGTACAGAGGGTAAGGTGCTTGTCTTGCATGTGCCCAATCCATGTTCAATCCCCAGCACCACATATAACCCCCTAAGCCCCACCAGGAGTGATCCCTGAGCACAGAGCAAGGAGTAAGCCCCGAGCACTACTGGGTGTGCCCTCAAACTAAAACAAAAACAAAAGCTAAGAATTAGGCTTCTATATGACACAGAAATCCTATTTTGGGGGTATGTATCTCAAGGAACTAAAAGCTCAATTCAGAAAAGACACGTGTGCCCCAAATGTACATTGCAGAAAAAGTATAGTCGAAGTGACATCTGCACTTGTTTGTTTATTGCAACACTCTTTACAATAGCTAGAATCTGGAAAAAAACCTGAGTGCCCGAGAACAGATGACTGGTTAAAGAAACTTCGGTACATCTACACAATGAAATACTATGCAGCTTTTAGAAAAGATGAAGTCATGAAATTCATATACAAGTGGTACTACATGGAAAGTATCATGCTAAGCGAAATGAGTCAGAAAGAAAGGGACAGACATAGAAACATTGCATTCATCTGGGGAACATAAAGTAACAAAATAAGAGACTAACACCCAAGAATATCCAAGATAAGTATCAGGAGGATTACTCCATGTCTTTGAGGACAGCCGCACACGCTAGGGGAAAAGGCAGCTCAGATAGAGAAGGGAGCACAAAATAAAGGGTGTTGGGAGGTTCCTCTCAAGATGGGAAATGCGTGATGAGAGTATACTATAGACCGAACAATATTGCCACTCAATGTCTCTTTTGCAAACAACAGCACTCAAAAGGAGAGAGATAACAAAAGGGAATGCCCTGCCACAGAGGTAGGGTGGGATGGGGGATGGGGGTGGGAGGGATACTGGGACTGGTGGTGGTAGAGAATGGGCACTGGTGGAGGGATGGGTATTTGATCATTGTATAACTGAAACCCAAGCACAAAAATTTGTAAGTCTACAACTCTACCTCATGGTGTTTCACTAATAAAAATTTAAGGAAAAAAAATGTTCATTGCAGCACTGTTGACAATAGCCAAGATCTGGAAACAACCGAGTGCCCAAGTATATATGAGTGCATAAAGAAATTGTGTTATATTGCTCAGCTATACAAAAAGACAAAATCGTGCAATTTGACCCTATGCAGATGGAACTAGAGGATCTCATGTGGAGTAAAGTCAGTCAAAGGGAAAGGGAGAGCTACAGAACGGTCTCTCATGTATGCTATATAAAGAAGCAATAGCAAAGGATTAACAATGGGCCAAAGACAACTGAATCTGAGTTCTGTTCCACAGAACTGAGCTTACCATGGTGGGGAGAAAGGCTGGGGTGAGGGTGTTTGGAAGGATTTTGAGAGAGAGACTTTGAGACAATAGTGGAGGGGAGTGGTCCCTCTGGAGGAGAGGATGGTGTTGGAACATTGCATGAGTGAAATCCTGTCATTCACAAAATTGCAAATTACAATGACTGAAGTTCTAAAGACTGGCCTTATCTACAAAACAGACAAAAAAGATGTGCCAAAGAGGGCTTAACAATTGGCTCTAGATGCCTTTTCCACTTGGTAACTGTAATAGACCATCTTTCGCTGGTCTAACCTCAGGAAAAATAGAAGTGATGGTGTCATTTTTTCAAATGGAGGAGAAGTCCTCAGCCAGGTGAGACCAGGAGTAAGGAAGGGGCATAATCTGGAGAGCTGGGTGAAGCAGGGGACACTGGTCAAATATGTGAACAGAAAGCCCTCTCAGAACAAGCATCACAGGCAGGAGGACAGAGCTAGGCTGGAAGCAAAGCTGGAAGAGAACAATTTCTCTTTTCTTGTTTGAGTTCCTGCCCTCAGCTCTCACAGAGCGTGGAAGGGACCAAGTAGTGTCTCGATGTATGTCCTTGAAGGGGTAACAGTTCTGGCTGCTCACATGTTGGCAGGATAATAATAACTTTGGATATGTTGGGCGGAATAAAGTATATTGAAAAGGAATTCCTCCTTTCCTTTGTAATGTGGCTACTAGATGCCAAGTGACACGTGCTGCTTGAACTTGTGGCTTGAATTGTATTTGTGCTGGGCAACACCATTCTATCGTACAAGGGAAAATGAGCAAATCAGAACAACTGACTCAGGAAAACAAAACTGACTTATTAATATTAAGGCACTGTTTCAATTAATGGCTGTAATTTACTTTGACATATAGAATTAACTTCAATAGGCCCCACAGCCATGAAGACTTTGTGAAGAAGACATTTGGTTTCAGGAAATAAAAATGCTCTGATTTGTCTGTTTGTGATATGAGGGGGCAGTTTCAGTCATTTGCTTCCACTGGAAGAATTTGGCCAGCCTAGGCAGTGGGAGCATCTAGTAACAGAATGCATAGTGTGGGAATCAGTTAGTTTAGTTAGAAAAATTATTGAGAAGTTTTAATCCCAGTAGAAAGACTGAAATCACAGAAATAGAATGAATCAGTTTTTTGGTACTTGATTCTATTCCCAAATCTTTTATTTTGATGCATATCAAATATCAGCTTGATGCAATTAAATCATAGGAGGAGGGACCGGAGAGATGTGCCTGCTTTTCATGCAGGAGGCTTAGCTTTAGTCCCTGTCACCATAGAGTCCCTAAGCACCCCTGAATGTGGCCTCAGACCAAAGAACAATAATAAAATAAAACGTACAAGAGGAAATGTAATGCATTGAATGTGGGGTATGTTCTAACCTTGATCCAGGAGAAGGGATCCTTGGTGCTCCAGGCATTGACTGATCCGGAATAATGGAGTCTGGCCAGTTTGGGGGCCCATTCTCCTTTGCTCGAGAAAGAAAATAAAGATAAGATTCAGCTGGGTTGGCCCTGAACACTTGGGAATGAAGACACCCTCTGGAGAAAAGCTAATCCTAGCTGTGAGGAAGAGAAAAGCAGACAGCACAGTGGTATCCATGACGACTGATGGGTTTTGCTGGTCCTTCTTCATTTTATTTTCTAAATTTAACGAATTGGTTGATTGTTAGCACCTTTAATGAGCTAATACTGAAATGTGTGCCTAGCACTATCAAGTCATTTTATTTTTATATTATACTATGTGACAATTGTAGAAAAGTTGGAATATGATGATATATGTAAGTAAAACAGAAGAAAAAGAAACAAAAATTCTAATCCTTTTATTCACTGTTTTATTACATAACTATTTTTAGTATTTCTAACTCTCAAGTCTCTTTTTCAATAAAAATGCAAAAAAATTTGTCTCAAAAACAGGGATTGGCACACTTTTTTTCAGGGCCTGATAGAAAATAACTGAAGACTAATAGAACACATGGTCTCTGTTGCAACTACTTTACTCTTATTGGAGGCTGAGAACAGCCATAAATGACTGTAAAGTTGTGTGTATGTGTATATATATGCATGTATAATATATATGTTTGGAGGCCACACCCAGAAATGTTCAGGCATTACTGCTGGCTTTATGCTAAGGAATAAGTCCTGGTGGACTTGGAGGACCATATGAGGTGCTAGGGATCAAACCCAGCTTCGTGCAAGGCAAGTACCCTACCCACTGTACTATCTTTCTGGCCCTGATGATTGTAAATTGCTTTTTATTTATTTTTTTGTAAATTTTTATTTAATACAATACTTCACAAAACATTCTTCTTCCCCCTTCAATTATTTTAAAATAGAGAAACATGGTCAGAATGATGATACAGCAGGTAGGGTGCTTGCCTTGCATATAGCCAACCTGGGTTTGATCCTCGAAAACCCATTTGATCCCCCAAACCCTACCACAAGTGATTCCTGAGCACAGAGCCAGGAGTAAGTACTGAGCACGGCCAAGTGTGGCCCAAAACACATACAAAAAGAAACAAATGAGGGCCGAAGAGATAGCTCAAAGGGTTAGAGTATATGCTTTCCATGTGGTAGCCCTGGGTATAATTCCTAATACCACACAGTCCCTGGAGCAGTGCTGGGAGTGACCTCTAAGTGTGGAACTGTGAGTCACCCCAGAGCACTGCCAGGTATGGTTCCAAAACCAGAAAGAAACAGTTCATAGCCTAAAGGCCTAACAGAAACAGAGATGATGTGAACCAGTCCTGCCAGTCGGAGGTTGCCAACCCTTGCTCCCAAACAGTGTTTAAAAATCTGAGTATATCCTACTCAAGTTCCTCTATCATGGGTCGCCTCAAAATATAGCTTTCTGCAATAGGCAAGAGTGGGCTCAAAGGCACAGTATTGAAGGCAGGAAGGGTTTTTAAGGTGTAAGTGGTATTGTCCAGGTGGGAAGTGATAGTGACCTGAATTGAGATGCCACAATGAGAAATGGAGACAAGGAAACAGATTGAGATGCATCAACAAAGCAGATTTAATGGAGGCATAGAAAGAGATTGGTTATTTGAATCTCTGCAACAGAAAATAAAAAGAATGTGCCTAGATCTGGGAGAAAAAAATTATACCTACCAAACTGTCCTGATGCTGTAATCTGGAAATCTTTAATGCGCCCAGAAGCCATTCCCAAGGGAGCCTGACACTCTGAAATCAAAAGTGGGGACACCAAAGTTGGAAGTGTAGAAAAGTCGGTTGCACAAATACAGGAGATCCCCCAACCCTATCCCATGCAGTTCTGTGCCAAGAACTTTACTAAATCCAACCTGTACATGATGGAACTGCTTACGTTTTGCAGTGGCAGAAGTCAGGTCCACAGCTATATAGACTAGCGGTATTCTTACTTATTTAAGGCTCGATGCTAAAAATTGTGCTAGCAAAATTTCTGAGTTATCTATGGTACTTTAATAAATTTTTTTTCACAGACTGGAAGAAGAACTTGCCTTGCATGCAGCCCAACCAGAGCCAAGAGTAAGTCCTGAGTACTGCTGGGTGTGGCCCAAAAGAACAAAAAATAATTTCAAAATTTATTGTTGGAGATCCTGGATTTTCATATAGTAAAAGTAAAGTAAGTAAGTAAAGGCCCTCCCGTTGTTCATCAATTTGCTCGAGCGGGCCCAGTAACGTCTCCATTGGAGACTTTGTTGTTACTGTGTCTGGCATATCAAATACGTCATGGGGAGCTTGCCAGGCTCTGCCATGCGGGCGAGATACTCTCGGTAGCTTGCCGGGCTCTCCGAGAGGGGCGGAGGAATCGAACTCGGGTCGGCCATGTTGGCTGCGTGCAAGGCAAATGCCCTACGCTTGCCTCGCAAGTGGCTGTTCCCGGGTTCGGTCCCCGGTACCACATTTTTAGGGGCTGGAGCGATAGCACAGCGGTAGGGCGTTTGCCTTACAAGGGGCCAACATGGCCGACCCGAGTTTGATTCTTCTACCCCTGTCGGAGAGCCCGGCAAGCTGCCGAGAGTATCTCGCCCGCATGGCAGAGCCTGGCAAGCTCCCCATGACGTATTTGATATGCCAAACACAGTAACAACAAGTCTCATGATGGAGACGAGCAAATCGATGAACAACGGGAGGACCATGACCGTGACCATGACCATTTTTCATATAGTGGTGGAAACAAAGAGCTATTTTTATAGCAACAGTTTGTTCAATATTTAGAGATCCAGGTTCAATATGCTCTAAGCTTCTAGCCCATCTGTCCTCTGAGGACTCAGATGACTCTTACCAACAAAATTTATTTCAAATCTGGTAATGATAGTGCACTATGATGCATTTCCTGAAAAGGTAATCTTTCTGAGAAGGAGAAAAGGTGAACTGAAGTTTCCTGAGTCAGCAGGATGCTTCTGTCCATGGTGCTCCTTACCTTTGCTGTACACCAAGAAAAGGGTGCTCATCCCAGCTTGAAGGTGCTCCCCAATAAGGCATTCTATCCGCCAAATTCCAACTTTGGAAGGTAGCATTTCCACAGTTTCAAAGATGCCTTTTTGAAAAAGAAAGAAAAACAAACGATTCCCTAATAGAGTTCTTCCCAGCACAGCACAGTTCCCTGACCATCAAGGCTATTGGGCTTGTATGGGAAAAGCCTCTGAGACCTGGCTTTGATGGGGGCAAGCTGTGGCCAGGGTATCTGGCATTCCCTGATGAATAGTATGTCTTGATGGCCTTGCAATTGCCTGTGGTCAGATTCTTGAGTTAGGGAGAGTCAACTCCTGTAGTGTCTGTAAAACTTGTCACATCTCTGCATCAACTCGTAGAAATCTTGACATCGGCAGACTATACTGACCTCGTGCTAGGCTGTCTTCACCAGGGCACCTTGGAGGGGGGCGGGTTGAGTTTCACTCCCCGCCCCAAGCAGAACCCCGGCAGCTGAAAACCTACAGAACTCAACTGCTGCCATGCTCAAGGCCACTCTCCACACACTCGGATGATCCTCACCCAAGAGGGAACCGACGGAAAAACCCAGGTATGTGGGAATCCATGACTGAGAGCTCCAAGCCCGCTCAGATTCGGACTGGGCCTCCTCCCCCCAGCTGCCCAGCTTTCCAGTAGCTTGGCAGTCACACCCAAAAACTGCCCCCAGCGCCATGTAATCTCATCAATGGACAAGATCCAGAGACTCCTGGAAGAAAGTGCCACAGAATTTCCTGGAGCTTGTATTCTCTTATCTACAGGCTTAAATGGCTCCATAATGAAATACAACAACCTTCACACACTTCCCTCTTACCGTGGTGGGAAGGTGCTCAGTGATAGGATTGGTGTTAGAATATTATTTGTAATGAACTATTGTGAACTACTTTTATGAAAATAAAAAAATATATATAAAAGAAATCCTGACATCTCGTGACATTCTGTCCCATCTAGCTCAAATAAACATAGAACTCACCTTCCTTTTCTCATCTCATGATCTGCATGTAATGCATTCCTTTCTGCCCCTATATAACCATTGCTCCTCCCTAATAAACTTCGTCATATGACAATGAGACTATGACCTATGTGGCTGGCTTTTTCTCAACCATGCTGCATGCATGAGCCTTGAGCATCTCTTGACCCTGACTTGAGGAATTGTCCTTCTCCTGAGGTCCAGGTAGTTGCAGGAAATTATAATTCCCTTTCACTAAAAATTAAGCCTGTAACTGAGGAAATATCACATCGGTTAAGGCCCTTGACTCACAAGCCAGGGACTCAGGTTCAATTACTGGCACTACATGGTACCTGTGTCCAGAGCACTGCCAAGGGAGATCTGGAGCACAGATTCAGGAGTAGCCTCATAGCAGTACTGTGTGTGGCACAGCCTCATGGAGCTGGACCCCAAATAAGCATGAGCTGCATTGATTTCTGCAGAATATCAGGGGAGATATACCGAACTCATTATTTTTTTGCTATACCAAATTGTGTTCAGGGTTCACTGTTGATTTTGTGCTCAAGATCCTCTTCTGGAGAGTTTGGAGAACCATAGGAGGTGTCAGGAATCAAGCTCAGGAAGGCCACATGCAAGGCAGGCACCTTACCCATTGTACTATCTTTCAAGCCCCAATCAAAGTCATTTCTCCCAGACTTGGAACCCACAGATCTAATGAGTTTGCTAAACATTAGTGAACCCAAAGTTGGAGGTATTAGAGATGGAATCTGACAGCCACCTCCTTCCCCACAAGAAATAGGACATACAGGGTGGACATTTGGGGTTAAAATGGAATTTGTTGCAATGGGATTGCCCTTCCAGTGCTTCTCTGGGCTTTTAGAGTCAAAGTTGCATTACCCATCAATCAGATGAGGATCCCATAAGAGAGAGGTCAGAGGCCTTCGTGATGGAGGAGCTGCAGATGAACACAATGGGGCTAGGGGGGCTGAGGACTGTTATAAGTAAACAGCAGAAGAAAAGCAGAACCAACCAGGTCAAGAATTCATTAGAAAGTGTCTCAAAAGGGATTCTTGGAAGAGCCCACTGAAAGAGTCCCCAAGAAATGCTCTGGGACAATGGTAAATTTGCCTGGCCCTCTAGCTACAGCTGTGTTAGGAGGCCACGGGTGATGGTCAGCCCCCTTGTACTCCCTCAGTGCCTATTCTTCCTTTTCCTGCTCAGAGATGGAAGTTTCATTAAGTTAACAGTTCTGATGATGTTATTTCTGACATTTTACATTTGTGATGGAAAGTGACTGCAAGCCAGTTTATGATGTAAGAGTGGGCAGAACAGTCCATGGGTTATCCAAATTTATTTCCAGAAACAGGAGAAATTTACTCTCATAGTTATATGTGTTTTAAAGGGTAGGAAGACTTTAAGTGGTAATTTTATTAATAGTTTAAGTCATACTTAATATACAGACTGGTGGAAAACATAAACAAGCCACTCTTGGATAACTACTCATGCCAGATGAGCGCTGAGATTGGGGAATGCCTACTCAAAATCCATTGATTTGGTTCAATTTCCTTTAGATCACATTACCTGGATATGAAAAGATACCATTCATAATACAGACTAATTTATTTCTTAGCTCTCTTTATGGTGAAGAAAGCCACCTGAGGGGCAAGAGAGACAGTACTAAGGTTAAGGCACTCACGTTACATGCAGCCAACTCCAGTTGGTTCTCACCACCACATACCCCAGCATCACTGAACAAAGTCTTGGAGGGCTCTGGTCACCACCAGGTAGCAAGTAGGCTAATACAGGCAACACAGAACCTGAGCGGCCTTGCATCCATTTGGCTCTGGCACTGAACCACCTGCCTGGGTGGCTGAGAATCACAAGGAATGGTCCCCAGATATTCTGAGCGCTACTTGAAAGACCTCCTCAAATAAAGAGAAAAAAATAAAATAGAGACAGAAAAAAGAAAGAAAGGAAATAAAGAAAGAAGCAGGTAAGGAAAGTGTACCTGAGAACAGAAAGTTGGATGTGTTCCCTGATTACATCTAGAGTACCTGGGCCAATTAATGTAAGAAGTCAGCCAAGCCTGGAAGTGCAAGGAGCATGGCCTGTGTTTGTACCTGGGTAGAGATTGTACACTGCCATTTTGTACTCCTCCTTCTTCCGCACAGTGAACACCTGCCCACTGAAGTGAATAGAATGTGTGTTCTCATTGCTTCCCATGCTCAACAGGTACCACCGGATCCTTTGACCCTGAGCCATGACTAAGCCAGGGAGTGAATCCATCACATAGCCATTGATTGCTGTGGAAGAACAGAGAAGGCAGTCAACATCTGTTTGCATGTGTCTTTCCCTCTAATTCAGTTCAACTGCTACTTCTTGTGTGACTGGAACTTCTGCACCTGCTCCAGAGCATTGTGCCCAGCTGAAGGCTCAGGGCTGCTCTGCTGCTGAGTACTATTTGGGTATTGGATAGAGATTACCATGAAAGCGATAGTTCTCTCTGAAATGTGGGTCTTCCATCTGTATATTGCATGGTGCTCTGCAGTTCCTTTCCATGTTCTCAGTGAAGTACCAGCTCTTGGTCTCATCAAAAATGGTAAACAACAGAGCAAATTCCTGCACAGTCTCTTGTCTCTGACGACTAGGGCTCAGAGTGTTTTCACGGCAGATCAGAAGGGGCCCGATCAAACCCGAGTGCACGTCTTTCTCCTGAGGGGGAAGCCATGGGTTCTATAAGAAGCAGCCCTTTTCCTCAGACCCATAATACTCTCCGTCATGCTTCTCATTCCCCTTCAACCCATAACCCATCTTCCCACAGGCAAGTTAGCCTCATCTGTCTGCAGATCACAGGATTGATAATTCTAAATCATACAGCTAACTCAAAGCTCAGAGCACCTCCCCTATTCAGAGATTACCATTGCACTTAGGATAAATACTGCAAAACTTAGTGTAGGACATAAAGAGTATTTTTCTGTTGTTTTGGTATTAAACCTGGTGATAGGGGTTACTTCTGGCTCTGAATTCAGGAATTACTCCTAGAAGTGCTCAGGGGACAAGATGTGATGCTTGTGATTGAACCCAGGTCTGCTGGATGCAAGGCAAATGCCCTCCCCACTGTCCTTTCTCTCTAGCCCAAGAGCATTTATTTTAAACCAGAAAGTGAGCAGCACAAGGAAGACCTGCTTACCAGATCAACATCTGAAAAATAGGGCCAGGCTTTGCAGTCAAACTCATCCTTAGTGGGTGCCATATGATGCTGCACTTTCCAAAAGTAAGTTTTGGTCTCATTGGGCTTGACAAACTTTTTCCTAGGTTCAGCTCCTTGCTGCTGATCTTCCTCATAGGAAATGAGACTAGAATAGAAGGAGTAGGGACGAGAAGCCTTGTTTTTGAAAGTTACCTGCAGCACAAAACACAACAGGAATACCATAATTTGAGAACCTAAATAGTCATTAGCAGAGGATTTACATCCCTAAAAGTTATGCTTATTTGGGAATTGGATGCAAGTCTTCCAGACCCACAGGAAGTGGTGCAGAAGATGTATATTGTTAGGACACAAACCTAAACGGTGTCTGAAATAAAAGCTCTGAGAATCTTTTTTGTTCATTTGTTTTTATTTTGGGGCCACGGTGATCTGTGCTGAGGACTTATTCCTGGCCCTGTGCTCACTATCACCCCTGAAGTGCTTGGAGGGGGGAAGCTATGGAGTGCCCAGGTCGAACCTGGTGGGCCGCGTGCAAAGAAAGTGCCCTACCCGCTGTAATATTGCTCCAGTCCCAACTCTGAGGATTGTTTTGAACTCTAAGATCGTTAAGGCATAGATTCAAAGCTTCAAAGGAAAAGATTTGTGAACACTTCACAGCAAGTACAACAAAATGGAAAATATTACCACAGGTTTTATTTGTTGTTGTTTTGTTTTGTTTTGGAGCCACACCTGGAGGTGCTCAGGGTTTACTCCTACACTCATGGATCACTCCTGATGGTGCTCAGGGGACCATATGGGGTACCAGAAATTGAACCCAGATTGGCTTTGTGCAAGGCAAACATCCTTTCCACTGTACTATCACTCCAGCCCCTACCATAGGAGTTTTATTCCAATTTTATTTATTTAGGCTTTTGGGCCACACCCAGAGATGCTCAGAGTTTACTCCTGGAATATGGGGGGGGGGACCATATGCGATATTGGGAATTAAACCTGGCTTGGCCTTGTGCAAGTCAATCACCCTACCTATTGTAGATTCCCACAAGGGTTTTTTTTTCCTTCTTTTTGGGTCATACCTGACTCTGCACAGGGGTTGCTCCTGGCTCTGCACTCAGGAATTAACCATGGTGGTTCTCAGGGGACCATATGGGATGTTGGGAATCTAACCCGGGTCTGCTGCATGCAAGGCAAATGCCCTACCCACTGTGATATCGCTCCAGCCCCCAACAAGGGTTTTAAAGGACTACAATTGCAAGAGTTAAAACTAAGTTTCTTCAAGAAGCATTTGTGCATGAATGCTTATGATTTTTATAAAACACTTTTTCTGATTTCAAGAATTTATGTCTCATAGTACATAGGGAAAGTAAAATAGAATTCAAGGCGGAAAATATTCACATGCAACCCTTTAATTTTAGTTCTATCCTTAGTATAAAGGGTAAAGGTAAAGGCCCTCCCGTTGATCGTCGATTTGCTCGAGCGGGCCCAGTAACGTCTCCATTGGAGATTTTGTTGTTACTGTGTCTGGCATATCGAGTACTCTCGGTAGCTTGCCGGGCTCTCCGAGAGGGGCGGAGGAATCGAACTCGGGTCAGCCATGTTGGCCGCGTGTAAGGCGAACGCCCTACCCGCTGTGCTCTATTAGACAATGACTTTTTGAGTTTCATTTTGGAACCACAGCCAGAAGTGCTCAGGAACTATATCTGGCTTGATGCTTAGGGTCACTGCTGAGAGTGCCCAGTGGACCAAGTGGTGCTGGGGATAGAACCTAGGCCTTTCGCATGCAAAGCCTTGCCCCAGCTCTTTAAACCATCACTCCAGCAAGACAATGATTATATCTGGGAAAAATATAACCACTTTGATTTTTGGCTCATACAATGCACCAAAATAAATTATAGTCTACCTGAATTATGGATTGGTTAAAAAGTTAAATGTTGGTTCTTCTCTGTGGAACAGCGGCAGAGCACATGCTATGCTTTCATGAGGCCCTGGATTTCATCTCCAGAAAATACTCATATACATACATAAGGATTACATTGAAATAATTAAATTTATATAGTTAAACCATGGAATTGAAGAAAGTATAAGCAATGTGACAAAAATCTCTGGATATAAAAGAAAGATTTTTACAAACATAAAATGCATATACCAAAAGGAAGATAGGATGTTACTTTTTCAACTTATTTATTTTCTATACCTTAAGCACTCTTGAAGATGAGACTATCTTACTTTTATAATTAGAAACAAAAACTAAATGACAAGTTCACTTGTGATTCTGGTTCTATTGTCTTCAACTCACCATGATATTGTCTTCAACTTCTGCTCGTATGTACGGCCCCAAGAGTCCCAAGTGTTCGTTTAGTTCTCCACGGTACAAGGGCCGAGTAAAGGAGTCATCAGCAAATTCCTGAAAAACCACCTTTTTGAACTGGAGGATGCCTTCACTCTGAACTCTGGAGAAAAATGAGAGAAAGTCCTCCTTGTGTTGAAACCCACTTATCACTGAGGATGAACTGGTAGTTTAATGGTATAGGGGCTGGGAAAATGAGAAATTAAAGGTAGTCTTGGTGTCTTGGTTCCCATTTATGCATTGACTTGGTCCTACAGTGTAATTTCCACAGATTTGTATCTTGAACATGTATGAAAAATAAAATACGCAATGCATAGTTTTATAAATTTCCCTACATAATCCCTCTATCTTTAAAGTAAACGACTATGACTACTTTTGTGCCTTATATTAAGTATCCTGGAGACAATAAGCAAGTACCATAAACCAAATTATTTTGTTTTCTGAAAAACTATTTTGGGGTAAAGAAATTTGGCTTTGAATTAGAACTTTTTGTACATGTTTTGGTAAACATATATGTGCATTTCTGTTGGGCATGAAAGTGCCAAGCTGATGTGCATTCTCGAAAGATACTATTACACTATTTTTCAAACTGGCTGCACCATTTTCCATGTTTGTTAGCAATTTACAAAGCCCCATTTGTGGGGCTTAAGAGATAGTATGGTGGGTAGGGTATTTGTCTTGCACACGGGTGGCCTGAGTTTAATCCCTGACATCCTATAGGGTCCCCTGTTCCCTCATCAGGAGTGATCCCTGAGCACAGAGACGGGAGTAGTCTCTGAACACCACTGGGTGTGGCTCCCCAGAAAACAATAAAGTAATGTTCCATTTTCTCAAAATATTCACATTTTTAAAACATTGCCTTATCTAATTCATATACACCGTATACCACAGCATTTACTTAGATTTTAGTTAGCTATTATAATGCAGGCAAGTGGGAAGGTGGCTGGCAATGAGTGTTTTCAAAAGTAAAAAACCAAGACATGGACTAAAGAAGTCAGTGTATCCAGCCCAGAAGCATGTATGCAGGAGACCACTGAGATGCATAAAATAAGGCTTCCAGCATCTGTTGAACATCCTGCAAGGAGAAGATCCAACGTCAGACACAAAGGATGGAATTAGAACGTGAAACAGGGGCACGCAGTGGAGCAATAGTGCAGTGAGTAAGGCACTTGCCTTGAATGTGGCTGACCTGGTTTTGATTCCTGGCACTCCTCAGCACCACCAGGAGTGACTCCTGAGCGTAGAGCCAGGAGCAAGTCAGGAGCACAGCCTGCTATGGCCCAAATTGCTCCCCCATCCAAAGAAAGAACATAAAAGAGGGCCAAAGGCATAGTACCACAGGTAGGGTACCTGACATACATAGAATCAGCCAGCGTCCAAGCTCCCAGTCCCCAAAGCCCCACCAGGAGTGATTCCCAAGTGCAGAGCCAGAAACAAGTCCTGAGCACTTCTGGGTGTTTCTCAAAAACCAAAAGAGGAACATGAAAGAAATTCACCAAAAGTTCAAAGCTCTTCCCTATGAAACCTCCCTGATTAATTCCTACTCATGCAGAGAATTCTAGGCCAAGGCGAAAAGGAGACTATCCATATATGATTCATTCCAAAAACTACTTGAGGTTCTCACTCCTCTGGAGAAGGATGTTCCCTCAGAATATCTTTCCCTCTTCCTTTTCCCTCATATTCCATGAATAAAGATCTCCCTTCACTGTTCTTTTTTTGGGGGGTGTGGAAGCAGGGTTAATTTTCTTTTACTTTATGTAAACACTGTGGTTTACAAAGTTGTTCATGATACTTTTGTTACAGGTATTCAATGTTCAATAGCAATCCCACCAACAGAGTGACCTTCCCTCCACCATAGTCCCATTTTTCCAACCATGTCCCCGCCAAGTTTGTACCTCTAGCAGACACAAAATAGTCTATTTTATATTGCTTGTTACAACTGAATGGCTAATGTAATTATCAAAAATATTTCAGTAAAAGAAATTTGTGAAAATTGTTATATCTTACCATGGCATCATTAAGTCCTTGTCTGAGGGTTTACTCAGCTTTTTGTTGCTTGTTCAGTCTCCTGTGTTATTGTTTTTGTTTATTTGGCTTAGTTGGCTTCTATGTACTTTCCCATCTAATTTTGTGTGTTCTTACTGGGATGTTAGCATTATGAAATTGGGGGATCTGTAGAGCTGGGCTTGTGGATGAGTTAATATGGCAACTGCTGTGGGATATGGAGATGGCTGTCAAAGCTTCTTGAAGTATGGGATCATGTGAGAAGACTGTCCAGCCCCACTCTGAGAAGAAACCAGATTTCTCAGCCTGAAAGCTGCTGCACTTAGACTATTCCCACATCCCGTAACTGCTGTCATATGAACTCATCCACCACACAGTTCAACAGATTAACAACTTAATCTCAGAAGAGATGCAAGCCAAGCTGCTAAAATTCATGGGGGACTTAAATTACGTGGTGAAGTTTCCTACATTTGGGAAAAGTGCTGAGGTCAGCACATGCAGAATGCAATTAGTAAGTCTTGCCCTGGGAAACCAAACTTTAAGATTTACCATGCCAGGTGTGTGCATATTGGTCAGACCTGTACCCTTCCCAGCTTGAAGCCCCGGGATCCACACAAAGGGAAGCCTGGAGACTGGATTCTGTAGCGTTTTGCCGCATCCCTGCCAGGCGCTGCTCTTCAACACGTCCCTCAAAAATCAACCCCCAAAACCACATCCGAGGAACTTACTTCATATATATATATATATATATATATTCTATATTAGAGGTACTGGTGAACCCAGGCCTTGTGTCTCTTCACTTCTCCATACCTCACTGTTAACATACAAAGACATCCTAACTGTAGGTTTCTAACCACATAACACACAAGAAACAACTCCAAATTGCAAAGATTACAGTGGTAAAGCAACGTAGAAACCCAGTAGGCTTAGTGAGTGAAGTAAATATGGCCAGATGACCCAACAGATCACCCTAACCAGATGACTCAACCAGTAATAATGAGCTATATAACTTTTCTGTTAAGGAATTTAGAGGGGAATTGTTAAGGATGCATAAGGAGCTAAAAAGAACAATGGAATCTCATTGTGGTTTTGATCTGCATCTCCCTGATGATTAATGATGTAGAGCATTTTCTCATGTGCTTTTTTGCCATTCGGATTTCTTGTTTGAGAAAGTTTCTGTTCATTTCATTGCCCCATTTTTGGATGGGGTTGGATGTTTTCTTCTTGTGGAGTTTAACCAGTATTTTGTATATCCTGGATATCAACCCCTTGTCAGATGTGTATTCGGTGAATATCCTTTCCCATTCTGTAGACTGTCTTTGTATTTTGGTCACTGTTTCTTTGGAGGTGCAGAAGCTCCTTAGTTTAAGATAGTCCCATTTATCTATCTCTGTTTTCACTTGCTCGGCCAGTGGCGTGGCATCTTTGAAGATACCATTAGCTTCAATGTCATGGAGGGTTTTGCTGGCCCACATTCAAAAGAACAAAGGCAACCGATGCTGGCGTGGATGTGGCGAGAAAGGGACACTCCTTCACTGTTGGTGGGAATGTCCACTGGTTCAGCCCTTCTGGAAAACAGTATGGACGATTCTCAAAAAATTAGAAATTGAGCTCCCATTTGACCCAGCAATACCACTCCTGGGAATATATCCCAGAGAGGCAAAAATGTATAGTCGAAGTGACATCTGCACTTGTTTGTTCATTGCAGCCCTCTTTACAATAGCCAGAAACTGGAAGAAACCTGAATGCCCAAGAACAGATGACTGGTTAAAGAAACTTTGGTACATCTACACAATGGAGTACTATGTAGCTCTTAGAAAAGATGAAGTCATGAAATTTACATACAAGTGGTACAATATGGAAAGTATCATGCTAAGCGAAATGAGTCAGAAAGAGAGGGATAGACATAGAAAGATTGCATTCATCTGGGGGATATAAAGTAACAAAGTATGAGATTAATACCCAAGAATAGCTGAGATCAGCACCAGGAGGATTACTCCATAACTTAGAGGCCAGCCGGGTATCCTAGAGGAAAGGGCTATTCAGATAGAGAAGGGAGCACCAAATAAAGGATGTTTGGAGGATCCTCCCAGGAGGGGAGATGCATGTCGAAAGTAGACTATGGACTGAACATGTTTGCCACTCAATGCCTCTTTTGCAGACCACAACACCCAAAAGGAGAGAGAGAACACAGGGGATTGCCCTGCCACAGAGACGGGGGGATGGGGGGATGGGGGTGGGAGGGATATTATCCATGGTGGTGGAAAATGGGCACTGGTGGAGGGATGGGTATCTGATCATTGTATAATTGAAACCAAAGCATAAAAAATTGTAAATCTACAACTTTAAAAAAAATAAAATAAAATAAAGGGGGAAAAAAAAATAAAAAAAAAAAAAAAAAAAGAACAATGGAATGCACCATCAACAAAATATGAGAGCATATAAGAGCAGAAATGACTAAAATACAAATGAAAATACAAGCAGAAATGACAGATCTGAAAAACCTAGTAGGTGAAATGAAAAACTCACAGGAAGGCCTCAGCAGCAGAGTAACAGCTGTTACTCTGCTGCTGAGGACAGAATCAGTGAGCTCCAAGATGAAGTGCAGAGAATCTCCAGACAACAGCAGAAAATGGAAAAGAGCTTCAAAATGAATCAACAGATGTCAAGAGAAAATCAGTATGAAGCCAAGAGGAATAACATAAGAATAATTGGAGTCCCCGAGGGACAGGAATAAAACCCTGATGAAGTAAAAAACTGTTAAAGATATCATTGCTAAGAAGTTCCCAGATCTCAAGAGCACATGCAAACAGATTCAGGAAGCCTGAAAGGCACCAGCTGGAAGAAATCTAAATAAAAATACTCCAAGATACATCCTGATCAGAATGACGAAAACCACAGGCAGAGACAAAATTCTGAAAGCAGCAGGATCAAAGAAAGAAATTGCCTATAAAGGAGCATCCTAAGATTTACAGCCAATTTTTCTGATGAAACCCTCAGGGCCTGAAGACAGTGGTGGTATATAGTGAAAAAAATCAATGAAATAAATGCCTCACCAAAAATGTTTTACCCAGATAGACTCTCATTCATATCAGAAGG